ATCACACAAATAAACTGAAGCTTGATTGTTTGTTGGATGTGAATGAGCGTTATGTTGGTGATGACATAAATGAGCTGATGTGGGGAAATGCTTAGTCAGGGATCAGCAGCGGCTCCCGGGCTGGCGGACCCCCCAAAAAGCGTCCCATAAGAATGAAACAAAGAGTGGACATAACGTGGGTCTTGAGGGTTGGAGCAGAGGAGAAGCAGATACATTTGAGGCCCATGGCTTTGATTATGTGGTCCGGAACCCCTCGGCTGTGTCAACATGGAAGGAGTGGCCGGGGAGCATGCTAGGATACTGGATCTGGTCCCTGTAAGGACCGGCCCCTATAACGACCTGAAGGTCAGAAAGGGAGGTACTTACGTATCTTGTACACGAGTGAGTTATACCTGAGTGAGGGAAAGGGACCTGAGCCGCAAGGCAAAGCTCTCGATCTACCAGTCCATCTACATCCCAACCCTCACCTATGCTCACGAGTTCTGGGTCGTGACCGAAAGAACGGGATTGTGGATACAAGCAGCTGAAATGAGCTTCCTGCACAGGGTTGCTGGACTCACTCATCCTTAGAGATAGGGTGAGAAGCTCAGACATCCGGAGGGAGCTCGGGGTAGAACCGCTGCTCCTTCGCATCGAAAGGAGTCAGTTGAGGTGGTTTGGACATCTGATTCAGATGCCTCCGGGGAGGCTTCCTCTGGAGGTTTTCCGAACACGTCCACCTGGGAGGAGACCCCGGGGCAGACCCAGAACCCGCTGAAGGGATTTTGTTTCTCGGCTGGCGTGGGAACGCCTCAGGATCCCCCAGGAAGAGCTGGAAAGTGTCATTGGGGGGAGGGATGTCTGGAATGACCTGCTCTGCCTGCTGCCTCCATGACCCAACCCCGGATGGATGGATGGATGGATGGATGGATGGATGGAGGGATGGATGGATGGGTGGATGGATAATTGAGAAGTAGGGTCAGTTTGTCATAGACTTTTATACAATCTTATTTTTGCAACCAAAGGAGTCACCCCCTGCTGGCTGTTAGGAAGACGCAGGTTTAAGTTACTTCTACATTGCCTTCTGTGAGGGTCATAGACTGTGTTCACTGTGTTTTGGGGTTTTTCCTGCCTTTGTGTTTTGGTGGGCGGGTTATTTCTCTGTAGGCTGGGCGGAGCCGATCGGGGAAGGACTCTCACGCTGGCAGCTGTGGCTGATCTGCTCATCAGCAGATGACCTCAAAAGCAATCATCTCACAGGACTCCAGCACCAGAGGATTGTGATACCTACCCCGTGGTACAGTCAGGCTGCTAGTTGCTACACTTCGCTGGGCATTCCTAGCTAATATTGATGTTCTCTAGTTTCGAGCTCATCGTGTTTTTCTCTGCCTGTCTCCAGTGTCCCTCCTTGGCTCCAGCACTCAGCACTTCCCCTGGCACACCAGCGTTGCACCCACGTAAACTTCCCTACGGGAACCCACGGTCACGAGCACCTTCACCGGGAGAACTTCCACGAGAACCGCCACCCATGAGCACCATACCCCGAGCACCGGACCTCTGCGCACTGCCCCTGGTTTCCCTCTTCACGGCTCCCTCTCAGCACCAGGAAGTCCTCCACGGACAAAAGCACGCACGAGCACCGGACCTCCTCGCACCACCCTCGGCACCCCCCACGACCGGCACCCCTTCACCGGACTGCGTTTCTGCCTCCTGGTGCCCATCACTCCACCACCTTCCCTAATAAATCCTGTTTCCTTTAACCCTTCTGCACGTCTCCCTTTTTGTTTGGGTCTGCCCGCACAGTCACTGAGCACGAACCATCACACCTTCACTTTTCAGACCTCGAGACTTTGTCTGTTGTTGAGATACAGTCTATGCTAGTAAATAAGCGGAACTACCTAAATTAATTATGATTTACATGTTATTTGTCTGTTTTCTGCTGCACAGGCAGACATTTAGTTTTTGAGAGCAGTGAGAGTGACCCAAAACAGTAGCTATGCAGGCTGAAAAACAAAAAAACAACCAGCTAAGGAATGCTAAACTGCTGAGAGGAGGGGAAGGATCGGGTCAGATCTTGGTGGGTTTATCACAGAGTGACCTAATTCATATAGATCTATAGTGTTATTAGAAAACTACTGATCCCAGCTTTAAGTAAAACACAGATATATTATGAGCCAAATGTATGTGAAGCAGTACTCCAATGTCATTCATGAATACACTTATTAACTTTCTCGTTTAAATGGATCTAGATGAGAGGATATCCTGTGTTAGCACAGCTCAGTACAAAGAAATAGCTCGACTGGCTCAACCAACAAATCCACCTCAAATGCTCGCTGCAATTAAAAAACCTATAGCAGAAGGAACTGTCTGGAAACCGACCCATGACAACAAGTCTATGACTGCCTAACATGTACTTCAGAATACTTCTTTTTGGAATTACTGACTTCAATGAAATATCCGTACTGTTCGTGTGCATTCACTGATTGTTAAATGTTGCAGAGACATGCAGCCGTCTTCTGTTTCGTTGCAGCCACGGGGACCATGGAGACGGGTTGTGTTAGTTAGTTTAACAATGGTGGGTGGAGGCAACACCACAGCCTGACTTAAAGACAGTATGGTCTGCTCCAAAGAGTTGTAAACACACACACACACACACACACACACACACACACACACACACACACACACACACACACACACACACACACAGATCAGGTTCATGTGTTAACCAGCAACCACAGTTCACTCTTTCAGCATTGTTTATTACATTCCTGTCCTTTCTCTCTCACACACCTCACACACTCCACTTTGGCCCAGTATGGCCCAGCAGCAGCCTCTTCACCTTGCACTGGGAGAACTGGTCATGGGCTCACGGCCTGGCATAGCTCCATCCACCACAGTCTCCTCCACAGGATGGGGACAGACGGGAGGGAAGCCCAGGAGGACGTGGATCCTGAAAGACAGAGGTAGGAGGCTTTTGAACCACTTCTGCTGAACGTGCCTCGAAATAGAAGAGTAGGTGTTCTCACAGCTTAGCTTCATAGTGAGCTGTTACTGCACATGTGATATCTGATGGTCCACATCATGAGTTTATGATTGGAGTCCCATGTTATAATATGACTCCCATTAGTACATGATCCATATGTCCATTGGTTTACGTAAACATCTACCAGTGTAAGCCAGTGGTTAAGGTTGGTCTGGAGGCTGATTCTCTTTGGCTTCGAATCCTCTCACAGGTGTCTGAGATATTGTATTTGTTCCAATAAATTTTTATGAATCAACAAGACGGTATCAGCGGAGAACTTCTACATCATCGTCACATCAAACCACACACATGTTACTAATCTATCTGTTATCTATAAACCACTGTGTCCTCTGTAGGGTGTCATGAGTACCCATGACATATTCTTTTGTACCACTCTCCTCATCAGTACCATCTATAGAAATGAACCGCTCTGTGAACCCTGGCTGTTGCTTGAGGATGCAAGCAAGAGGTTGTCAGGATGATGCTACAGGAGCAGCTGAACTTTATTTAGAGACAAAGTCACCTCAGT